TAGTATGGTGAGTTTGTACCTAACTTTGGGACACAAATTTAAAAAGAAACATAGGAGTAAAACTAAATTGAAATAAGATTGTTCTACCAATCTATATAATCATGGTTTTGACACACCATGCTTTTATCACTTTCCGGCAATCTACATTACTTTTTATTAGATTCTTTTTTATTTGGATTTGAATAAAAAATATTTGTCTAAATTAGCCTATCAATGAGATTTTTCCAAGATCAATAATCAATAATCACTGGATAAATAATTTTTTATGATTCAATTAAAAATTTACGATTTTATATTATTATTATTATTATTATTTTTTTAATTCAACATTATAAAAATTTGATGTGGTCAATAATTGGTTTAGTGGGCCTAGAATATAAAAGCTGGACCCAATAATTCATATTCTTGTAATCCAGAATGTTAGAGATAAATGGGCCAATACTATTGCGTCCAACTTAAAATTGGGCCCACACCTCAACTAACAATAAGAGGATTTTTTTTTAATTTTTTTTTTAAATATTATTTACAATTTTAATTTAGATAATATCATAATATTTTGGGATATTATAAGATGCCTTCGTAAATAATATTTTGATATAACGATCCATATCATTGATTAGTTTAAAAATGTATAATTAATCCAATAAATCGTGTGTCCCGAGCTAGAAGACCCTCGTAACAAAACTAGAATCAACATGGCATAGTTACGAGCTAGTTCACGAGGTATCAAAGTTCTTGTATCGATTATTTATTGAGTTTTCAAATTTTCTTTGAGCTTGGAATGATAAAAAAAAAAAATCGAACTAGCTTTAATTGAGCCAAACAAGAGTATTTTTCCTCCTTTATAATCATTTTTAATTGAGCTGGTGGTCGAGTCGAATTTAATAGCTTATCAAACGATAATATGTATTAAAATTTGGTTCATTATATTACCAAATCGAGCTTAAATGAACGAATCAAACCGAGTTCGAGTTGTTTGATGTGATTTTCAGTCTTAAAATGACAAATAATTTGTGAATAAAAAGACACTTAAAAAAATGTGACAAATGGAGTAATTGGTAATTTGCTCTTGTAACCATGGATCTTATAAAATATTGGCTTTGCCATCTTATAATTATTATATTTAGATAAAGAATAATCTCAATTTCGAAGTATTATATACCGATTGACTTGTTTTATTTATTATTTATTTTTATATTTTTTAAATTGATTTGTGTACAAGCATCTTGGATCTACGAGGAAATAATTATACCTTTCTTCTCCTTCTTTCTCTATACTTTATATTATTTAAAATGACAAATTAAGGACATCCCGTAAAATAATGTTAAAACACGAAAAAACTCTTATTGTATGCGTAATCAGGGCCAGCCCTGGGGTGGGGCGAGCAGGGCCACGCCCAGGGCCTACTTCTAGTAGGGGCCCAAAAAACTGATTTTTTTCATATATATTATATATATTTTTAATGTTACTTATTTTATTTTATATAAATTTAATTATTATCATGTTGAATTTAACCAAAAATAATTAAATTTACTAGCTGAATAATATTTATAATAAAAAATATTTTCATTTATTAATAGTAGAATTGAATATTATTGAATATAACATAAATATGAGATTATCGTGCAAAAGAATTGCTAAATAAGTTTTCTCAAAATTAAAATTTAGAATAATTAGTAAAACAGTTATAGCATATGACATTAAAATATTTATTTTTATTTTATCAATAGAATAAATATAGTTTTTATGAATATGTTTTTTTAGAATTAAATAAATTATTACATACTTTTCTAATTTGTTTTCTTAAAAGAAATAAATTCTAATCCAAATATGCAATATATTTATTCTATAATGAAACATATATTAATAAATCTTTATCCACATTAAAATATCGGGAAAAAAATCGAGGGCGCTGCCCCCGAACCTCCGTATTACTTAATGACACTTTTATTATTTCGCCCAGGGCCTCAAAATATGCCGGACCGGCCCTGTGCGTAATTACATACACCCCTCAAATGTATAATGTCTTACATATCCATCCTTACAGTCATACAGTGTTAAATTACCCGTTGAGTAAGGAGTTTTTTCGTAAAAGAATACATAGTTAAGGGGATTAGTTGGAATTACCCAAAACATTTGCGGTTTTTTTTCGTAATTTGACATTGTCACAGGAGGTGGTCGTAATTTGCCCTATTTAAAATGACGAGGTGTAATTAAAAGGTCCAGATAAATTGTAATACAATGGCTATAGAGATTAAACCACATTTTATTTCTATTTTTCTTCAAATTTATCAAGAAAAATATTAGTATTCAGTTGTATATTGCATGTTAATTATACAGAATTTGTTTTGGACACTCAAATTACATATACCCAATATATAATTTTATATGAAACTCATCTTTATTAAAGTGTGGATAGGTTGGTGAGCTAATATATTTAATGCCAAACAAATTAATTTAAAATGATAAGAAAATAGGGATGGCATTCTAAAAATAAATATAAATTTGTGTAAATATGAGTTGGAAAATCGATCGTGTCAGTAAGATGCTCATGCGTTCTTGTTGTAATGACATTATTTTGTCAGAGATTTATATTTCTATAATAACTAGTAATTCACCCGTGCGATGCACGGGATCAATTTTTTCAAAAAAAATATTTTGGATAAAATAAAACGAACGAAAATTTTGAACAGTTGACATACATGTAAATGATACCCAAAAAAAATGTTTTATTGAATCAAAATATTCATTTGTTTGTGATTTACCTTCATATTCGCTGAAAATCTTTTGTGCACACAACATTGTTCGTAATTTTAGTTATATCGCCCGATTCTGAGTTGATAAATATATTTATCTCAACTCTACTTTTAACACTGGACATTGCGGCGTACAATTGGCTATCCACCCTAATATTAACACTAATATTACACTAACAACAACGACTACTACTAATACTAAAACCAACATTGATAAGACGAATACATATACTAATATTAATACTAAAACCAACACGGATAATACTAATATTATTACTAATCCTAATATTAATACGATGATTAATACTAATAGTCTAATACTAATATTAATATCAACACTAAGATTAATAATAATAATACGCCACTTCTAATACGAATATTTAATGTTTAA